AGGCCAGAAATCTGAACACTATTGCACAGACAATGAGGAAATTTATCAAAACACTGTCGGTTAACACTAGCTGATTGGATTTACATATTACAGACAGACACACGGACACAGACAACACACTCACAGAAACACAAGAGACAGGCACAGGACTTGATTTGTGACGTAATGCAAGCCGCTGAATGCAGTCGGACGTTGTTAACACTGGGCAGTGATGGTCTGACGAAGATAAGCCAGACAGCTACATTAATACGGGACGAGCTTTCATGTTGAACAATGGCAGTAGTTTTCGATGTTCAAGACATTGTCCAACAATCTCCTTTTGCAGACAGACTCACACAAGGGCAAACACTTCTGATGGCACAAACAAAAGAAATCCAGAGCTAACAGTGACACAGTGGTATGCAAATAGAAGCTGAATTGATACAATAACAGCACCCCATTTCGGCAATCATCCTGTCTGGCTTTCTCCCATTGGACTTTTTCAAATCCAGCACAGTCCTCCCTGTCTAGCACCTCCCTAAAGCACTCCAACTCTGAATGCCAGAAGAGAGGAAATAAATGTTGCCATGGAAACCGCCAGGCTGTTGACAGGAGCTAATTTCTGCCTCCATCAGAGTGACAGCATTAAAAGTTGACGTGATTCATCGAAACTCATCGCTTACATCAGCGCTGATCTGAAACACTTATCGACAGGTTATCTGAATACAAATTGCATTTGTTTGAACGCCTTTCTTTTTTTGGTAGTGACTTTCTTTTAAATAAATCACACAGTACAACTTACTGTGCAAAGGAAAGGAGACTGGCTATTGATTTGGCAAGAAAACCCAAATTAAATCACCCCTGAACTGGTTTATTGGTGAAACATAAAGCAGATGTCTTTTTGCCAGACCTTAACAAATGAAGACAATAATTATAGCCTCTCTTGGTCCCAAAACATCCTTTAAACCAGCTAGCTATGAAGAGCTAACTAATGATTAGGCTAATGTACAAAAACAAATTGGTATGTGTAAACTACTAGAAAAGGTGCATTTCCTACTAATTTTCTTTACATAACTCGGTTCATCCTTGTATCATTTTGCAGTCTGAAGCATTTCAAGTGTCTACGCAGTCTCTTCCTGCTCATCCTTCTCAGACATACCACTCCCTCCGCGAGATCATTGAGCCATCGGTGTGCGACACGTAGTCATTGTCGTAGCAGTCCTCTGGCATGTAGGGGGAGCCGTTGCTCATGACTTGCGGAGCGGCGTACCTGCGGGGCTCTGGCTGCAACGAGCTCCTCTGGATGTGATGGGCTGGACTTAAGGTCTGCGGATGGCCGGGGTGATGGTTGTTGTGGTAGACGTGCTCATGGTTGTGATGGTTATGGTGGTTGAGTTGACCGCCTGCTTCCCTCAAAGCTCTACTGCGACCATTGGGTGATCGCTCTCGGTCAAAATCACCCCACTCTTCTCGATCCTTATCCGGGTAGATGGAGCCGTTATCCTGGTTGGATTTGAGCTTGGTGTCAGGGCTTCCTTTGCTGTAGACTTGCTGCAACTCATGGGGCTGGGGAGCCTTCTGCATGTCCGAGGGGCCGTGATACTGCTTTGTGTAGTAGTCGCCGCGGAAAGTCCGCCGCTGACGCTGGTAATAAACTCCACCCAGAATGAGCAGCAACAGCAGGAAGAGGGCTCCACCCACTGCCCCACCCACAATTGAGCCTAGGTTTCCTTCCGGCAGCGGCGCCAGGGTTGGAGAGGTGATGAGGGCTCGCTGTTTATTGCCAGGTGCGGTGGCAGAGATGTCGGCGGTTAGGAGGCGCACAGGGGTGGTGGGGGGCATGGTGGTGGTTGAGGGAGGATCTAATGGAGGGAAGGAAGGATAGGCAAGAGGGAAGGGGGCAGGAGGAAGGGATGGACAGACAAAGAAAAGTAGATAATGTCAATGCCAACTACATCCGCATATCATTAACAGTCATATGAATCTGCTTCCAAGATTGTAACATCTTCTAGCATAACATCTAGAATGACCAACAGTTGCCATGGACGTGACAGTTTCAGGTTTTGGATCAGATCTTTTATTGAAAGGAAGTGATTGGAAACCTTCCGACAGCTTCAAAACCTAAAACTGTTGTCCAGAGCAAAGACTAGAAAAAAAAAACCATGAAAGTGAAAGAAGAGTTGAGATCTTCATGATAAGGGGTTCATGAGGAGCGACATACTAACATCTCCAGCTAACAACGAAGTACAGTTGTCTGCAACAATGAAACCCAATGAGCAACATTTGTGTTAGCTGAGAGAGGGAGTATGGATGACCACATAGCTAAGTGATTAGGAAAAAAAACAAAAAAGGAAGGAAGGGGTCAGTGAAAGGGTACGAGCTACTGGGGGAGGGGAGGGAACAGACATCGAGAATACCCTGCTAACATGACTTGACTGGTGCAAGGATAGGAGATTGAGCTAACGCCATTATCATGCATTGATCGCTTGATTGTGTTAGGGAGCAGCGTGTTGCGTTTCATCGCATTCTGGAGCATGCATCTGTACTATGCAAGCAGCGTTCTCTGAGGCTGGGAGCTGAAAGTCAAACTATTCCATTATGGAGTGTCCTGTTCCAGGCACAATGAGAACTATTTGGCTGGCTGTGAAGTGTGTGAATGCATTGAGTGCAGACGTGCGAGTCGCAGGAGTCAGGGCTGCAAGCTCTTCAGGGTTATGTGGTTCAAATGCTCCAGCTAAAGTGGGGAATAATTTGCTCATCCTCACTGGAATGAATAATAAACGTAGCATACATAAAGCATTCCTGGACTGCATTGTTCCCGCAAGGTCAAATGTAATTTGGATGCATCTGTGGGTCTGGTGAGAGAATGTATATGTATGTAGGAAAGAGCAGCTATATGGTTCAGAAAAAACTAAAATGTGTCATTTACTCTTTTGGAAACATTTTTGATACAAAAAGTTCTGAAATATTTTTGCACTCCCACGGTATTCCCAGCGCAAACATTTGTTGCATATATTAAACCACAGGGATAGTTCACCCAAAAATATAAGTAGCTACCAAGGCCTCCCCTAACATGGTACGGGGCCCAGTACAAGTTAGAGGATGCGGGGCCTGGTGCAAACCACCCTGGTTGTCATTATTTACTCACCCTCGTACCAAGCCTGTATGTAATTATTTCTTTGAGTGCAATACAAAAAGACAATTTCTGAAGAAAATTCACACAGCTATTTTCCATGACTTTTCAATGAACTAGGTCTGAATGATTAATTAAAGAATCTGAATGGTTTGTTCATTAACCAGGATTTCAACTCATTGACTCAGAGTTCCGTAGTTCTCAAACTGTATGTGGAATATATATATATATATATATATATATATATATAAATATAAATAGATAATGATTTACATTTTGGACAGTTCCTCACATAAAGCTAATGTGCGACTTCAGAATACTACAAGACTACGATTATAGTGCATTTTTGGAGATTAACACCATGAACAACAGTTGTATGAAAAAATAAAATAAATAAATAAATAGGCATGAACATTCTTCAAAATATCTTTGATGATCCACAGAAGAAATAAAGTCATACAAGTTTGCAACAACATGACGATGAGTAAATATTGACAGAATTTAAATTTTTGTGTGAACTATCCCCTTAAGCCGCAAGGACATGGATAATGTCAATTTATTTTAATTTATTCAATTTCGCCCAGCGAGTTAAAGAATAATTTGTTTCAATCAATAAACACTAGAGATTCTCGCCTCAGCACGTCAATGTCCAGAAAGGAAGAGAACAGGACATAAAGAGAGGGCAAGTCACGGAAAGGTCAGAAATCCCTCCCCCTTTCATGCTTCTCTTCTCTGTGCCTCCATAAAATCCAGATTTATCACAAATTATGTACAGTATGTGTTAACCCATGCCTGTCCGTACACCGTACATATTCAAATCTAAATGTGATTGGTCCATCTGGAGGAAGTGTGTGGGTGTGTATCTGGGGGGTGACTGGTGACCACACAGGTAGTGGCAGGGTGTTTAACATGCAGGACAGGTTCTGCCCACCCATACTCATGCACAAAGATCAGTGACTAACAGCAGACACCCACAGTCACTCAGTCAATACGCAAACAGTAGCAGTAGGCATTCTAGTAGAAACATCACGACTCAAACAATTGACGCAAAGGGACTCTTAAAAAAAGATATAGGCAGACAACTTTGACAAAACAGCCACACGCAAACAACAAACAGAAACACATAGCTTCATGCACGCATATGCTGAATCTTTCTCAAGGGGAGAGCATTAAAAAAAAGTTTTTAAAAAAAAGAAGAAAAGAAAATACATAATGGCGGTTGAAAAGAGCTGGTGAATGTTTCATGAATCTAGGACATCTCTCAGTCAAGGTTGCTTCCGCTCTATTCTCCCCTTGTATAACTGCGTGACAGTCTCAGAGATATAAGCGTGCACGAGGGAGGGAGAAAGAGCGGGGGGGGGGGGGGGGGGGGTGGTAATGTGCGTCTCTATAACAGAAGCTAATTAAACAGCAGGATTCAATGTTTATACAAAAATGATAGGAGATAAACACTATGGAGTTTGACAGCGAATACCTGTTTCAGAGGTCAATTTGATAATGACTCATGAAACCCAATAAAAACCAAATCAAACTTTTTTAAAAGAGCCAAAGCTGAATTTAATGGAGGGCCAATGCCCTTCAGGCAAAGGCCTCATGCTAAGGAAAATGATTGGGAGCTTATGTGCCTAAAAAAAAAATGGATCAGGATCCGTGTAACTCTGAGTGATGTGAGATAGGTGGGTTCTAGAGAAGGAAACATTAAGAAACATCTTGCTTGAAATGAGTAAATGAAAGAATTAATGCAAGAAGTAAATTTTTGTTTTGGATTTAAGCCAACATTTCAATAAATTTGACTGGTTAAGTTGTGTTGCTTATTATTGTTTCTCCAGCTTCACATGGGAAAAATAATTATTAAATGGGTATGGCAAGTTTCAAGTCCCTCACTCACCCTGAATGCGTATTCTAATGTCTCGACTGCGCAGTCCGATATCGTTTGCCACCTCACACCTGTAAACGCCAGAGTCGTTCTTCTGCAGGGGCCTCATAAAAACCAAAGAGTTATTCAGCACCTCTGCTCCATCTGGCATCTCTCCATCCAACCTACAACATACAAAACATGTCAAATTGCTTCCAAATAGCAAGATCTTTCATCTGCCCAGACACTGTGGAAAATGTCAGTAGCATTAGTAATTTACAGAGTCAGTCAAAAGTTGGACTTAAAATTGTTGGTTAACTTTAAATGCTTAAAAGAAAAGAAAAGAAAGAGTAAGCTTTTTTTGTGAAATGGATGAGTTGGACCAGATAAGGAAACAGCCAACAAGTACCCAGTATACATGGGAACTCCTTCAAGATGCATAGTTGAGGAAGTCGCCAAATAAAAAATGATATGTTAAACAAGTTTTGACTTGTTAAACATCTTTTTGTTTGCTCATAACTACCATATGTCATTTCATAGTTTTAAAGGGGACCAATTATGCAGAATTCACTTTTATATTGTTTTTGAACATAATTATGTCCGCAGTGTGTACACAACCACCCTTTTGTAGCAAAAACCCATCCACTCCGTTTGTCATTTTCCACATAAATGCTCATTTTAAGACACTTTCAGATTTGAGTAAGAAATGTATTCTTATTTAAGCTACTAAAGATATTTAAATCAAGAGCTATGAGTGATTTTATGTTTTTCTTCTGTTGTTTGATTCATATTTAAAGCATACAGCAGTAGATATTGCATATTATGCTGCGGTTACTTTAATACACAGATCTATATACACGTGATTTCTTTCCCCGCTGTTTACGTTCACGGACATAACTGACTGTTTATGTGAACTTTGTGTGTTTTTGACATAACCTTGTGTGTGTTTGACAGTTTAAGAGCAAATAAGACAGGAAAGAGATCTTAGTTTAATACTCGCGTGCCAGTCAGTTTTCTGTGCATGTACATCGGATGTGTGTGCTCAGAAAACCATATATCAGAAGTTTAAACTGATATGGCTTTTAAAACAAATGGCAATAATACACTTTCAAGATGACAAAAAACTGCAATGTCACATTAGCGTGACCATGATAGATGAAAATCAAAACCAAAAAGATGTTTTGTTAGCTTTTGGCAGAGTATCCGAGGCACGAACTGTAAAGGCACAGTGCTATTTCGGGATAGGGGGTTGGGAGCAGCAGCTCATTTGCATTTAAAGATACATGCATGAAAACAGCATGTTTTTGCTTCCACTCAAAAATTGACATTTACAACATGGGATAAAAAATTATCTGGGGGGTATTTTGAGCTGAAACGTCATAAAACACATTCTGGTGTCATCTAAGCCTTATATTACATCTTGTAAAAAGGGGGCATAATAGGTCCCCTTTAAATGAATTAATTACGGCTATTTTCAACAAAGAATGAGTTAGTTTGTTCAAAATTGTAACATTTGACTGCTTGAGGCAAATTTAAATCACAATTAATAAATGTTTAAGCACACGATTGACTTTCAAATGAGCAAACAATACTGACAAACATTAATATATTAGGGGCAGAGAACTGATTTGCTTTGAATGTGTACAGTGTTTGGGCATTCACACATGAAACTGGTTCATTTGCATTGAAACCTGACAGTTCGAAAGCAACTATTGGTGTTGTGAATCATAGAGATCATATGCTGATTGAGAAGAGTCCAGGAAACCGGCATTAGCACTCTTGAACCCATACCAGACATGGTGCGCTGTGGCTATTGTGAGTGTAGTGGTTACACACCTGATCCATCTGAAGTGCTGGGCAGGCGGGTTGGCCTTGGCTCGACACTTTAGTTGCACATTATCCCTGCCCACATACCAGTCGCCGTCATAGCCCAGCACCAGGATGTCTGGAGCAACTGCACACACACATACACACACACACACACACACACACAATGCACAAAGGGTTCATTCAGAGTAGTGTAAGAAAGGTAAGGTAAGGCTGTCCTTGTTAAAGACCCTATGAAATGACATAACGAGTGCAGTTTTCTGGTCCCGTGTTGACGCATCTCCTATTGGAACAGGAAGATTTGGCAGGACATATCAAAGGTCCCCGTTTTTTAAATACCCAATAGGTTTTAGTTACATCACAGCCATAAATCATGTTTTGCTACCTGCTACAGTAGGTGTTATGTATTAGGGGGCAGGGCATTCTCATGCTAGAGAGCATTTGATTGGATTAAAATGTAACAAATGTATGACGGACGGGAGGACAGACAGATAGACAAACAGAGAGATAGAAATAAAGTAGTAATTTATGACACAACAACATTATTAATGCTAATTGATCAAAGAAACAATTCACCATTAGGACTCTAATGTCTGACCAGAAAAGTACAAGACCACTTACAAAGACTATGGACACTGTATTGATTTGTGCCTTTAGAAAAGCTCTTTACAGTTCTTTAAGTGAGTGTGCTGAATTAAGATGTCATGTAGACCAAATGAGATGAAAAAGACCGATGGAAATGAATGAAAGAAGCTTTCGTGACTATAGCCCTGTCCCATGACTGATGTGACCTCTCCCTTCCCATACTCCCTACATCGGCTGCTTCCTGTACCTGCCCCTCACCACTACATCTATATTTTATTTAAGAGACATCTGTGCTTACGCACTCGCCACCACTGCAGACACACACTTACACGCCTTCCTCACGGCTCAATGGTGCTTAGAAGTCTGTGTGCAGAAATCGTTAAATGGCGCTGACAAATCTTTCGTCTGAAGCATCAATACCCTTATTTACTAGAAGTCCATGAAATCTTAAGGACTGTGTCCTAGTGAAAGAGCTTTTAGCTCCATCACGCACAAGACAGCACCAAGACATCATGTCATGTGGATAGTTACCGCACTGGGGTGATTTGGAAAACAGATGTAGGCTCTAGACATAAATCTGACTGCTTTGACTTGGTACAGAAAAAAAAAAACACAAGTTACTGTGAAATCTTCATGGAGAAGCTACTTTGGGTTTGTTGTTGTTCTACGTCAAGCAAACAAAAACAGGCTTGCGTGCACACAGGAGCAAGTACAAAATTTGGTGAGTAGATAAGTTTAGCAGCCAATTGGGTGATAACTTTATTAAGCCTACATGGTTTCTCAGGTTTTTTTTATTTGATGCAAGTGATGTGAGCAAATGAAAAAAGATATGCTCTAATGCCGAGTGTCGATACAGATTTCAAAGAAACGTCAGAAACAAAGCTGCAAGTAAGGAATACTTATGTCTGGTAAATTAGCTCAATTCAAACCTTTAAAAAAAAAAAAAAAAAAATCTGATACTCACACTGTACATTGACAATATAGGGTATCCTGAAGTCGCTCTGCAGAGCGGGATGTTTCACCACACATGTTAGCGTGTGTCCTTGGGAGTGACGGGAGGGCTGCCAGGTGTAGTGCACCTGGGTTGTAGTGGTGCCGTTGGCATCGTCCTGCATGTGGGCCTCAGACGTGCCGTACAGATTAGTCTCCCAGGAGACCTCGGCAGGGGGTCGAGCCCTCTCAGCGATGCATGTGGCCACCGTGGTTTCATTGCCACCGTCGATCAGAGCGGACGATCCGGCCGAGACATACACCTTCGGCTCCACTAAGACAGACAGAGACATGCGAGTTACATGGACCACACTGCTTGCGTTTAATTCTGCACTTTAATGTGAGGAGACATGCTCACACGATTACTCGAACGACGTATCAAGATAATGAACCGAGCTAAAGGAAATCCATTCAGACGAGAGTACAAAGCTAAATAAAAGCTAATTCTTTCAGCATCAAGAATCACTCTGGTACCACAGCCAATAAATTCATAACCTGATAAGCATGACTGAGAGAATAATTAGATTTTCTTTGAGAAGAAATAAAAGACTTATCAGACTAAAAAAAAAAAAAAAAAATCCTCTATGTTAACTACCGGCTGAGGGCGGCCTCGGTTTCTCATCAGAGAGCACTAAGTGCTTTTCCAGAGAAGATGAAATTATTTGTTTTAATGGCTTATCCAGTTTACATGGCAGAAGGGGCGGGGCTTGGGCGTGTGCGAGCCGTTATGAATCCAGCAGTGTTCAGGGCTGGAAAACTGAGCTTTGCGGAGGCTGACAGCGGCTGACAGAAACTTAATGTGTGGGGCGCTCTCCCCTTCCGTTCCTCCGCTCAGTGTCATCAAAAGGTGGGAGATGAATGGGAACATTTTCCTGGGCTCTGTGACAAGGGAGGCCCACTAAGTAAACAAGGGCTGTGATAATACAAATAATATATTGACATACAAAAGAATATTGCCGACCCTAAACTTTTAAATGGTATTGTAAGTTTCTTATGCTCACCAAAGATGCATTTATTTGATCAAAACTACAGAATACTGTGAAAAAAATACTGTGAAATAATATCAAAATTTAAAATAACCGTTTTCTATTTTAATCTTAAAATGTAATTTATTCCTGTGATGACAAAGCTGATACGATTTTTTATTATTATCATTAAATGTTAGAACCATTGTGTTGCTTAATAGTTTTTTTTTTTGTGGAAACAGTGATAAATGTTTTTCAGGATTCTTTGAATAGAAAGTTCAAAAGAACAGCATTTATTTGAAACAAATGTTTTGGGTAACACTTTACTTCAAGGGGTGTGCATAAGACTGACATGACACCTTCATAATCATGACAGGACACATGTCATGATTATGAAGGAGGTTTTATGCATGTTTATGACAACTGTCATTAAGTGTCATTTGCTCAATTATGACATTTTTTATGCAAATATGACATTGTTTGAGATGTCATTGTCATGACAACTTGACAAACCAATACATCATAACCTGTCATAAATATGTCATAGCAGATTAATTATCAAACTTGAGAAACCACTTAGCTTTATGGGTTAACATTACATTAAACTGTTATGTGGTTGGTTTTGACATTGGCTGTCATGAGGCCATTATAACTGTCATGAATATTTTTCTACTACAGTTGTACAAATTGAATTTGTCATTAAAAATGTTATAATGGCCTCATGACAGCTAATGTTAAAACCAATCACATGACAGTTTAATGTAATGTTAACCCATAAAGCTAAGTGGTTTCTAAAGTTTGATAATTAATCTGCTATGTCATGTTTATGACATATTTATGACAGGTTGTGTTGTCTTAGTAATGTCAAGTTGTCATGGCAAAGACACTGACAGGTTATGATGTATTGGTTTATGTCAAGGTGTCAAAGACATCTCAAACAATGTCATATTTGCATTAAAAATGTCATAATTGAGCGAATGACTCTTAATGACAGTTGTCATAAACATGCATAAGCACTCCTTCATATTCATTACATGTGTCCTGTCATGATTATGAAGGTGTCACGTCAGTCTTATGCACACCCCTTCAAGTAAAGTGTTACCATTTCTCAAAAAACTACTTTCAAACAGTAGTGCATCATGATAATTTCTCTCAAATACAGATATGCATATAATTTCATACAGTGATAATGTAGGTAATGCTATTCAAAATTCAAAATAAAATAAAAGGCATTTGGACACTTTATGGTGATGTCTTATGTAATGAAAAACAGCTCAGTAAAATCTAAGTTATTTTGGACTTATACCATCATTTAGCATCAAAATGTGCATCATATGAGGTAGTTGGCGATACTCTGCCCTATTTTATAATAAATATTAATTTGCAGAAGTCAATGGACAGGGACCGAATGCACCAATACTCATTGACTAGCCTTTGTTTCTCCCTCTCTCTTTCTCTGCCATGAGTTTCTTTCTCTTCCCATCTTGTGAAGTATTAACATTGGCAGCTGACCTTCAGAGACAACAGTAGCAGCTGTGGTCATCGCACCTTCAACGGTCCACTGGTGTGTGGTGAGTGACACGTCACAAGTGCCTGTGTTCATAATATGTGCTCTATGCCCATGTGTGCAGCAAATCACGTGTCACTTTAAATAACAAATTCAACAGGACTTCGCAATGACATCCTTGACCCTAAAGTGCAGTGAATCCCAAAAGCAGCAGACATATTTCCCATACTCATACACTCCTGTCTCCACACACACACACAACTTTCCATCCTCCTCCTTGCTGAAGTCTATTCTTGAAGCATCTGATGATGTTTCACTGTGTAACCTTCATCTTCAGCTAACAGAAGAAAACGGCGACTCTCCTCATGCCTCCATAGTGCAATACATAATTGATATACCTAACAAAGCACTGTGCTTGTAAGCTTCCTTGTTGTCTCCTTTGTACACCCAGATAACAAAAGCACACAGCTTCGTTCCGTTGTATCTGTGTTTAGCAGAGCAGATGGCTCTGGGGGTTTGGTGGAGGAAGAGAGTTTAAACATCACCATGTTCTCTGAAAGAGCTGGACCGTCTCCCAAAACACTGCTTTCATTCCTGCCCTGGAGTTGCTCTTAATGTTTTTCCACCCTTTCGCACACACGCTGCATACTTGCCCACTTACAGAAATCAGCAGCTGTGATGCGCATCCACTCGCACTCCTTTCTTTGTTTGTCGACCGCGCACATGCAAAAGGTTTGTCACGGCACTTTATCATTAATACACAAGCACCACGCTATGTGCATAATCTAACTTAATCAGACTGCAAAAACACACGCATACAGACACACCGTCTCAAGTTACCTAGCACGCTGACAGTGGTGGAGGCCTGTGTGTTGCCCAGCGGAAAGGTGGCAACCTTGCAGGTGTACACGCCGATGTCAGCGAAACCCACATCTTCCAGCATGATGGTGGCGTCATGCATAGAGGGCGAGCGGAAGGACAGGCGTCGCTCATATTCAGGAGGGATGGAGATGCCAAACATGGGGTTGTACACGGCCATAGTCACCCATCCAGTGGGCAGCTTCCTCTCCCAGGAGCTCTGCGTCAGGCTGAGGTTTGTGTCCACCTGCACCCTGCAGCTGAGGGTGACGTTCTTTCCCAACACAGCATTCACCTTAGGGGGGACAACCACCTGACTGCCATACACCACCCCTAGGGGACAGAAAAGAAGACATAGTTAGTCAGGACAATTGAGCAGCTGCAGAAAAGAACTCTTTAGCACTTGTCCACCATTTCAACTGACAAATCCGTTTTTATCCCGTCCAAGCTCCAATCAATCAGATGCCAAGGTCTCTTAGCACAGCTCCTAATTCCAAATGAGAAAAGTTCCCTTTTGCTTAGACGTCTGACAAGGAGACGGAGACACCGGTTAGCTGGTGTAATTTGCTGTGCTGTAGGAGGAGCGAATGAAATAAGTTTTATTGTGCTGGAGGGAGGCTAAAATTATCCCTAACATTTGACTTGCTGCAAAAACCCTGATTTCTAAAAAAAAAAAAAGAAAAAAAAAAGAAAGTCTAAAAAATGGGTCAGGAACTATGGAATCAGAGCACACTAGAGAGAGAGAAAAATTAAAACTAAAGCCAGACTGAAAAATAAAAATAAATGAAACAAAATAAGATTTTAAATTAAGTTTAAGAAATAAAACACAAACCATTTTATTAAACTGGCCAAATGGTGTTTTCTCCTGCAATGCAAATGACTATATACTATAAATTAATATTAATTGTATTTAAATATACTACTAGAACATGTAGAAAAATATCAAATAAAATGATGTTGTCTTTAATTATGTAGTACTACATTGTATATGCAGCTGTGGCAAAACATATGTAGGTGTCCATTATTTCAAAATAACCCACACAGGGATTATTTTTTTTACCCATGAATTTGTTTCATTTCATTTTCAGTTCACAGTTTTTTTGTTTTTGTTTTTTTTAACTAACCTCTAGTTGTTCTCTCTAGTCTGCTGTGGCTCCATTGTTCAACTTAAGTCAGGCTGATTTGATGGTGCGCAGAACAATGGCTGACCGGCAAAAGCACCGGTCTGCGCAGCCATTGGGCCCATAGGGCTTTAAAATAGGAACAACATGGGCATTCACCACAAAAACTCTGAGTGTTCTGCTCCCTACCTCCTTCTCTTCCTTTCCGTTTGCCTACCTTCCATCACTCAGCCCGTCATCATTTTTTCCTTTTTCCATTTGCTGAACAAAAGCTTAATTATGTTTGAAAGAGGGTGTGCGTGTGTGAAATGAGTGCAAAAGGGGAGTGTGCGGATAAGACTGCGAGACGAGACCAAGGGAGAGACGAGAGCTAAAAGATGCCAATGAAACAACAAAGGCCACACGAGGACAACCTGTGTGTCTTATTACACCCAGACAGCTGTGCCCGCAGCCTCTGAAAACACATAGCACACAGACACGCGAACACTGCGCAGTCGCACGCGTTCTCTAACATGTGGCGACTGAGGCAAATCAATGTGTTCTGCTGGGAGATGATGGAATTAAAATCATCTGGGAGGATCTTCTCTGGATTCCCACATCAACAGCACATCAATCATCTGCTGGAGTGTACAGCGGTACCACAGTACCAACAATTTACTACAGTACAATATCATTTTGGAAATTTCGGTACAATGTGCTGCTATCCTGCAAAGTTTGGAAGGTCAGACTGCATTAGATTTAGCCTGGTAATACCAAACTCTGCTACTTCGCTTTGCTTCGTAGACAGAGTCTGGAATGGCATAATTGAAAAGTGTTTTCTTTCTCGCGGGGGGGATGGGGGCCCCTTGTCTGAAGTATAAAATCATTGGGTTACCCGTAAGCCAATCGCATAACGCAATCACCTCTCTCTCCAACTTAAACATCACCTCCATTCAAAATGTTTAACAAACACTCTTCTTGTTCGGGCTTCAGTTTGCAAATGCCGGGAATATTCTCCACAACAGAGCGAATTGCATCCCGTATCTCCATATCCGCGGTCGTTTTCGATTTCCCTAACCTAAAATACAATCTTAAACTCGGCTCTCAGCCCGCCCTCTGTTCGTTGATTGGCCGGCTGTTTTCAGGCCGGAGGAAAACTGAGAGATAGGTCGCTATCTCAGACTGAGTACAGAAGCGAACTGAAATTGAGCGGAAGTACGAAGTCTGATGTAGTCAGGCTACATTAGATTAATTATATTACTTAAAACAATTGTTACCCCAAAAATGAATAGTCTTTCATCATTTACTAACTCTCATGTTGTTGGATTACTTTCTTCAGTGAAACACAGAAAAAATAAACATTTAAAATTTTGATATGAAATTAAAATAAAATGTTTTTTGTTCATACGAGTTAATCGGGTCCAAAACAATTAACGATTAATCTACTGGTTTTGTATTTAATATTATTTTATTCACAGACAAACAGTTAATTTTCAATATTGCCTACAAACAGTATTGATACAATCAATCCAATCCTATCAGGAGTTTTCAATGAATAAAATGTACACAATAAGTTTCATCTTAGGTTCACGTCAAACTGAACAGTCTGTTCTTTAAGGGTTGTTACCTAGTGAACAAAGCTTTAGCACCATAAACACATTATGATCTGTCAGAGATTCCTTTAACAAAGGAACCCCAAGTTTAAGAAGACCCTTAAAGCAGCCATCTTAGAGTATGAGCTTCTCCACACAAACATATTCATGTATGATGGCTGGCCGATTGCTGACCTGAATCTGAGAATTAAAACCAGCCCCTCATGCAACCGCGTCGCTTTGGTCCAGTCAGAGCAACACTTCAAACAAAACTAAATATCTGGATTTAATCTGCAGAAGACCATCCATGTTATACAGTGACCAGCTCAGATGAAGACATGGAATCTGCAATCGAAAGGAAAAGAAAAGTTTAAAAACAGAGGGTACAGATAAATGTTAAGCGCAACAGGCGGTGTGAAAGATCAGTGAAGATCTTGTGAAGAGAATGCTGGAGCATTTTCAGTCAAATAAACAGAAAAACTGTACGCACACACCCACCCGCTCACTCACTCGGCTTCTCAAACGACAAAGCTAATTGCAACAAGCTGCCGGTCGGAAGATGTAATCGTAAATCAAACCCCGCCGTATTGCTTGGCAACAGACTCCAAACATTCCGCCGGAGAGTTTGTCTTGCCAGCAACGACCCTCCCTCTTTTGTCTCGACGGTACATCCTCGCTGTGACTGCAACAGGAGGAATAAGAGAAGTGACAAAATGTGGCAAATAAGAATCATAAAGGAAGTTTGGAAGTAGTTACATCTTCATCAGCGCCAGTAGGTTAGCAAACCCAAAAGATGACCTCACAGGAATGGATGGGGAAGAGAGGAAATTATCTGGAGGATTTCAGGCTGTAAATGTTGACTAACTTTATGCCGTCAGCATTTAAACAAAGGCATTTTAGGCCACTGAGTCACCGGGAATGCCAAAATGCAGACCTATCCATCCTTAAATCACTGGATTCATAACAAACAAGCCACAAGGTTCCTGCGTGGATCCAATACAGTGTCACTTATATGACTGATGGGTACATAAGCATTGAAAAAAAAAAAAAAAGATACACCACCTTAAAGGTGCAGTAAGCGATTTCTGAGAGTCACTGTTGAACACTGTTGATATTTGAAATCAACCCAAACAAACCCACAAAATGCACAGACATGCAATGTAAGAGTGGATGTCTCTATCATAGCCGAAGCTAATCAAAATAAGAGCAAAACACAAACATTCAGTACACTAGTATATATACAAGCGAGAATTTGTTGTTAGTTGCCAGCAGCACACCAATGTTACTCACATATGGAGCAGAAACAACGCAACCTCTGTGTAATTTTCAGGCCATAAGTCTCTCCAGCGCTGGAAAGATTTTCTAGCATTAACGCGGGTCCTAAAGCTCTTGCCTGATCATAACCCTTCTTGTTCCAGTGAACCTTTCTCTTTTGTAATGTCTCTCAGCCGTCTTTTTTCTAAAGTCAACCTTCAAATCTCTGTTTTGCTCACTCTCTTTCCACCCCAATCATGAGTGTATTTGCCTCCCTACTGCTGATTGGCTACAAGTGTGTGGCCAGAAATCGCTTACTGTACCTTTAAGATCAAAGCAATATAGATAGTATCAAACATTCTGCCAAGCTATTAATTAAGTTTTTACTTTTAATTCAGCCTGATCCGCTTTACATAAAGTCTTCATTTGAGCATATTTATGCCTAAAATCTAATCTTAAACATTCTTTTGCAGCCTTGCAAACCATATTTCATTAAGTAAATGTAGTTATTGCAATTACAATTTTGTTTGGTGCCACTAGTGGAGCAAAAGTACACACTTTTGGGTTTAACACTTTGGCCCATCTGTGATGAAAGAAGCAATAAACAGGCTGACATGAGAAAGAATTGTCTGACTAATATTTTACCCCCAAAACAAAAGAAATTAAGCAATTATATTTTATTTTTCATTGTGAAAGATGACCCAAACATTTCTTGATGGTTTTTGTAAGATTCACTCTTCTAAGTTGCTTAGGAGTATTATATATAGACTTTCTACAGTATATAGATGAATAGATATTACACAGGGAAAGCTCACTTAAAAAAAAAAATCTTGTCAATAAGATTTGGGTTATGTCTTCTTTCATCAGCTTCAGGTAAGAAAATAAATAAATACATTTATAAATTGTTTTTACTAAATAAAATATTTTTTTTAACATTATCTTTTAATAATTAATATATAATAATAATAATAATAATAATAACTTTAATTTGGTATAGCGCTTTTAAAAGTTAATTCTCAGAGCGCTTAACATAGACAATAGATAAAATAAGCATGACATACAAACTATTACAGTACATGCATACAAACAATGTTATAAATCTAAAAAAAATTAAAATCAATAAACAAAACATAAATTAAACAAAACCATAAAATATATTACATGGAGAACCACAACAATCATGTTTCACCCAAAAGCTTCTTTAAAATAATAAGTTTTAAGGGATGACTTAAACAATTTCAGAGATGGAGCACTTCGAATTTGTGAGGGCAGTGAATTCCATACCTTTGGGGCAACCGAAGAAAACGCCCTGTCACCCATAGTTTTCAGGCGCGTTACCGGAACAACTAAAAGACCAGCATCGGCTGAGCGAAGATTACGTGTCGGA